AAAATTACCTTATTGTCATTCAGTTACAGTTGTCTGCATTTATCTCCCCCTCATTCCTCCACCCCAGCCAAACCCACCTCACTCCCTTGCTTCCACCCCCACTCCTTGGTTTTGTCCATGTGTCCTTTATAGTTGTTCCTGAAAACCCTTCCCTGCTGTGTTGGTAATTTTTAAAATCCTGCCTATCAAAGAGTCACCCAAGCCCACCTCCTGTTTCCTACCCACCATTGGGTAAACTTTTATGGATCTGGCTTCTGAGTGTTAGTTGAGGATCTATGCAAACCCAGAACACACAGTGAGATTGTTTTGGAAAGTTGTGGTCCCCTTTGCTTCCTTGAGCCCCCATTCCAGTCCATGTCTTGTCTTTCAGCAGTAATTGAACGTCAGACCCAAAATAAATGCCAGACTTCAAACTCAGCCAGGGCGCTGGTCCCAGGGCTGCATGTGTGGCCTGAGGGTCAGCTGCTGATACGCATTAATGCCCTCTGTCTGAGGTTGATGAGAAGGCCTATCTTCCTTTTCCCTTCCTCATCAGCCACACACGTAACACACACCAGCCTAGATTCCTTGTTCTTCCTTACTAATTATGGCCTTCTCCATCAAGATTTTTTTTAACATTATTTTCTGTATATTGAAAAGACACATAGTTTCTTTTTAACATAAAATTTTGTTTTAATGTTGAATATGCTTAAAAAAACCCTCCAGGATATCTTCATATTCCTCAGCCCTGCCAGGCTAAGACCCAGTGCCCCAGCCCCTTATTCTTTGAGGATTCATTCACTTACACGGGCACAGACATCTCTTCCCTTATACTGTCCTGGCTTTCTCACAAATCTCAGTCCTATGCTGTTAAATGCACCCTAGACATTTTTGCTTGAGTGATTCCTCTGTTTCTTCAACTCATCATGTCTAAGACACAGAAGTCATTATTGCGCTCACCCCAAATCCATCTCCCTACCCCACTCCACCTTCCCATTTCCTGCAATGCTTCACTTAGTCTCCCATTTGCTCCTCCCCTAAAGTATCTCCTCTGTCACCCAGAGCTTGTTGAATCGTCTTTTTCCCTTTTCCACCTCGCGGCCATAATATTAATTTAGGCCCTCGTCTGTGAGTGATCTTCCTGCCTCCACCTCTTTTCCCTTGAATTCCTCCTGTCCACACCATTGCCCAAACAATCTTCCCCAGCATCACTTTCCCTGGGTCACTCTTCTGCTCATGAACCCTCAGTGTCTCCCATCAGCTGCAGCCTTAAAACTCAAGATGTCTGTACAATGGCTCCATCTATTTTCTCATCCTTAAGCTCACCCTTTACTTTTTTCTTTTTTTTAAGATGTTATTTATTTATTTTCAGTTAGAGGGGAAGGGAGAAAGAGAGGGACAGAAACATCAATGCCCAGTTGTCTCTTGTGTACCCCAACTGGGGACCTGGCCTGCAACCCAGGCATGTGCCCTGACTGGGAATGAAACCGGTGACCCTTTGGTTCACAGGCCCACACTCAATCCACTGAGCCACACGAGCCAGGGCTTACTTCTTTCTTATATGAACTATTTATAAGTGTGCATACCTACCATGTGCCTAGGTACTTCCAGAAAGTTGGACAGGAAAGTTCTTACAAGTGTACTTTGTGGTCTTGGGAATATTTTCCATCTATCCAAAGCCTAAATCATCATTGAAACCCTATTACAATTTCACTTTCCTCCAGAGACCTTTTCTTATGTACAGGCTTTGAATATATTCATTGATTTAACCCTCAAAACAACCTATGAATTTGGCATTATTATTATCCAAGTTTTACAGATAGAAAAATCAAGGCACAGAGATGTTTAACAACTTTCCTAGTGTCAAAAGCTAGAAAGTAATAAAGGTGGGATTCAAATCTGGCTCTGAAGTCCTGAATTTTAACCCTTGCACTTCACTCTCATGTAGCACGATATATATCTGGTGCATGTTTGTATAAATATAAACACACACACCCTCCCATTGAGACTCTAAAGCCCTAGAGGTCAGTGACCATGTACCATACTAGCTTGTATCCCCACTGCCTGGCCCAGTCTTTACATTTAGTAGCTACTTGAATCTTTTGGTTGATTGATTGTTGTGTTTGCATTCACTTTTGGGGGCCTAAGATTTTTAGCAGCAAGTAGGAGTGTTTTGAGGTACAAGGGGCCTAGCAATAGAATCTCAGAGAAGATCTGGAGTCTCTGGAATTCTTGGTTTCCAGTTCTTAACTCTGCAGGCTGTGAGGATACATTTGTACAAGAGAAGATACTGATATAAAAGCTCTTGAAAGTGGAATAAAATTCCCTTCTCAAAAAGCAAAATAAAAAACACAAGCCATATTATGGTTACTTAGTTTCTCTGCTCCCTCATGATGTTTTTTTTTTCTTACATATTACCGTTCATGTCTTTTTTTTTGTTTTATTGCCTACAACACCAAGGTTTTAACATCAGGATCTCAGACCTGCATTCCTGGCCTAATATTTCTACTTAAGATTTTTATAAGTTGAATAATATGAACATTTTATTTGAGTGGCAATGCTGCAACTACATATGTAGCTTAATAAAACCTGCTAAGTACATATTTGAATTTTAAAGACACAGGTGGTGGGTTATTTGCATTTTAAACGTAGTCTTCCTTTTACAAAAAGATCCACTGCAAGGTTCCATTAAATATCCAATAGATCTTACTGCATTTATCATACAATTTACTTTACCAAAATTTGATTTATATGCCACTCTAAAGGGTAGCTCTCAAGTTCTTGTAAACATGGGAATTACATGGGCAACTTGTTTCAAATCCAGATCTTTTCCCCAACTTGTCCCCAAGACTCCAATTCATTAGATTTGGGGTGAGGCCCAGGATCGTCATTGTCAATAAGCACCCTCATGTGGTTGATGTAGGTGGTCAGTAAAATATACTTTGGGAAATATTGCTTTAAAGGAACACATTTGTAGCACATAAAGGGGTATTCTCCAGGGTGTTGAGTACCCTCTAACTACCAAGTACCCTGCTTACTCTTCATTGGGTAATTTTTGAAATATCTACTTGGGTCAGATAAAGACTAATCCACCCCGCTTCTACTCACTCCTTTTCCCAGCTGTCAAACATCTTGAATCACAGGTATAAAATGTTTGCACTTTAATTTTTAAATAAAAAAATGTAAATTCCCCCAGCTTTATTGAGATAAGAGTGACATATAACACATTATAAGTTTAAGGTATACAATGTGTTGATTTTATACATTTATATATAGCACAGTGATCACCACCACATCATTAGCTACCACCTTCATCCCATCCTATAATTACGATTCCTTTTTGTGGTGACAACATGTAAGAGCTGCTCTCTTAGCAAGTTTCAAGTATGTAATAAAGTATTGTTCTCCTTGTAGCTTTAGCCCTCTAGTTTGCTCGTAGGTATCTCCTCAGATCTTCCTTATTCTCATTTCTTAATATTTTAAGCCCTCTTGTGAATAGCCACCTACTGAATTCACACACCTATTCTGTTGCAGTTTACTTTTACACTTACTGCATCGGCCTGCCCCAGACCCTGCCCCTTAGTGCTCTTCATCTGGATGCTGAAGGCTATGGCTGGTCCAGGAATATCAGGCATTTTTGAAAGAGTGACTTCTGCCAACATTTCTCTTAGCCAAGTCTAGGGCTCATTGTTCTCTCCCTCTACTATCCCCTCTAAAAAAAAAAAGGAAGGCCAAAAGTTAATTTTTTTAACAAAATAAATCATGAGAATGACTTGCTTTGGCATGAACCCATTCTTCCATGAGTATTAATTCTAGGCTTTAAGAAATGAATGCCAGAAATATACATTTAAAATATGATTACAGTTTAATAAAATTTGTTTAAAAAATAGGCTCTGTGACATTTATGGCACTTGTATCTATCTATATATTTAATACATCATTGATCCTTTAAAAGTCAGTTACTTGACCCATTTTTTGCCTCTGATTACTTTTCTAAATCACTAGTAATCTCCAAAAACATTTAGAGATTTCCATACTTTAGAGATTTTTCTCCCTTATTAATCCCTTATATCCCTAAATTTCACTCTGGGTAAAGGTTCTCTAGGGTGATCTGGATTTTCTAAAATATCCCCTGTAATAATAAAAGCTATGGAAGGGCAAATAACTGATGCTCTTGGTTACCAGTTGGAAATCTTTTCTTTTAATAGAGTTATCAGGGCTTATACATCCCTTGAAGTAATGAGCTCTTAATAACCTTGTTTGATTTCCATAAGAACATAGCCAGAGGTTGTGCTCATTGTTTATTGGCATTTTGGTTTTTCTTTAACCCATTCAGTGCTGGGCTCAGCCTCCCTGATCAAGGGTGGGGGACTTTCTAGGAAAAGAGGGTGGTTGAAAAGCAGAGGACAGGTGTAGTTGTCACTGAATTAAGAAGAGGGTGATAAAGGAAATAGTTTCACATTGTCCATATAACTCAGGCACACAGGAACCCACTTGGTGTGTTCAGTGTCATTCACTCTTTGTGGGAGAGTACTGTTATCTTGAAGAAAAACTAAAAGCTGGATGGTTATCTGTGGATGGTGAGATTACAACTAATTATTTTCTGAATTTTCTGAAGTTTCTACAGTGACCATGTATTACTATTAAAAGCAATTTTTAAAAAAAGAAAGAAAGAAACCTACTTTGCCTGGCACCTTGATTCTCTTCCCCAAGGGGCCTCACTGGTAATAGATTTGTCTTAAGTCTTACCTATGGCAGGGAACAAGGGTGGAAGTTCTCGCAATGAGGCCCAGAGCAGTTCGGCAAGCAAAACCCTGTCCTAGACTTACTCGAGAGCTGGCCTTTCTGTGCCCAGCAGGAAGGAGGGTGGCAGTGCTTCTGCATGAGCACATGTGTGCTCTGCCACCCCTCCTTCCGCTCAAGAATTAAGAGAAGATGGCATTGCATTCAGAATTCTAACTTTGTCTTCTTTCTTTCCCCCTTCTCCTCTCCCTCTCCTCTTCCCCCTTTCCTTCCTCAAGGCCTCTCCCACCTCATGATGAGTGAACAAGGTAGGTGCGTTTTGCTTGCGGTGCTCCAGCTGCCCAAATTGCTTGCCTTCGTGTCTATGGCTGGTGACTCGGAACCTTATCATCGCTGGCAGGCCATTTGCTGCCTGCTCCTCCTGTCGTGGGCCAGGCTGACGGCAGAGCCACTCCATGGTGGGGGCGCCGTTCCCGATGCATCGTGGTTTTCCACCCCCATCATCTCCTTGGCTTTTCCATTCCGTGCCGTTTGTCATCAGGGCGCTGGCCCTGCAGGCCTGTCTCCGAGAGGGAAGCATGAAACAAGGCATGACGGTGTCGATAATGGGGGTGAATGAAGCTCATTGCAGAGCAATAGAGCGGTTAACTTCCTCCTGCTCCTCCCCACACCCCATGCTGGGGTCGAGGGAGAGGAGCTGGGCTTCTCCCTGAATGTCACTCTGAGTAAGGTTTGCTTTTCACCTTCCCCTCCATCCCCACTGCCCTTTGTAATGACTTTCAGTCCCTCGCGGTGAATGGAAGCCCCTGGGGGCTGACTGTTTTCAGTTTTGTACAAAAGCAAAAACCACCAAGAGAACATGCTAATGTCCTCGTGGCAGGATTCTAACTCATTATACACCCTGAAGAAAACGGCATATAAAGATCTGTAAATTCAGCATCTGCAACCTAAAATATTCAAATATGCAGGGAATGAACTGTGCAGGAAATTCAGCTCAGCTAAGCACTGGGTGGGCTGTGAATGAAGCTTTTTTCTTCTAAACAAAAATTTTCCACATTATCAGCCTAAATCAGGATTTGAGAATGAAGCCTACTTAAAATTGTCTTTTCCTTCACTGTTCAATTGCTACTATTGTGTTCCTTCTGAGCCTTGGGATGATTGCAAGATTGGGGTACCTGCCTTGCCCGGACACGAAAGGACGTACTTTAATTTCTCTCATCTGTTTTTTTATTTTTTTCTCAAAATACACACAGGACTCAGTGCCTCTTTTGAAGGACCAAAGAAAAGGGGAAGGAAAGGTAGTTCCTTGTTTTCCTCTTTTGAGGGAAGTGAGGCAGCATTGAAAGGCTCCTCCCCCTCCCCCTTCTCCCCTTACCTTGGATCTACCAGATAGTGTTGCCGCAAAGGGAAGTATGATCAGATCAAGGAAACACCTAGGGCTGAGAGAAATTTGTTTATGGCATCCAGGTAGCTGCAGAGGTGGACAATGGAGGGCATCCTAATTAGATAAGGCAGGGTAAGAAGGAAGCACACTTTTCCCATAGAAGTGTATCCTCTAGACCTGTGCCAAGATCCACAGTGTGGACCCCAGACATTTCAATGAAATCACTATCTGGTGTAGAGCAGATGTCAAAGGACAGAGCTGGAGGGAGGACGTCAGCACATTTTCCAGTGTGAGATGGAGCTCTGGAACAGGCTGGGCTGAGGCCTCCCTATTCTTCTTGCAGGCGAAGTCTGTGCCTATGGCAGATAACTATGAAGTGGATATGAGTAGGGGACAACACACTGGTGTTGACTGGTGGCCAGGTAGTGTGAGAAAGTCAAGCCCGCCTCTGCAAAGTGGGTGGACCCGAGCTCTATGAAGTGCTGGAATTTGCTGGCCCAACTTTGATAGTGAGTTACACTAGGAGAAGCAGGCCCTCAGAGTCCTGATGAAAAGATCCTCTTTTACATTCTCTTACCTGTGATCCCAGCTGCTCTTTAGGGGTCCTCCCAGTTGGTATAGTGGCTTGGAGGTCTGAGAGCATCGTATGGCCGATGTCATAGAATGGGGTCCAGGTAAATGCAATAGGCTGTTGAGAACTTCTTTAATCTTAATTAGACTTATTTCAGACCTATTGATGCAGCACAGTTGTTCTGGAGGGCTAAATCCTAACAATGGTATCAAAAGCATGTGGAGAACCTCCAGTGTATAACATGCCCCATTTTCCATTTACTACTAAACTCCTTTTGTGCACCCAGATTGGTGTGTACATGAGTAGAGAACTCAGGCACATCAGCATATACATACTCTGTGGGTTAAGTCAGGTATTTTCTTTAGGCAATAAAATAGTGACAGACATAAATATTGTAAATTACTCTTTAGAGAAGTTTTTAGGAAAGGATGCAGAATTCTTCTAGGTGGTCAATGCCATTTGAGATTTTAAGTTGCAACTTGGCAGTTTAATCTGTTTCTAAGAAGGTCCTTTAACTGCATTCCTCCTCTTATCTCCCAGCCCCTTGTTTGTTCTCCCCTTTGTGATGATTACCTGAAAAACCAACTCTACTTCCCCCCAATAACGCCTTTCCTTCTCCTTGTTCCTTCAACACGAAAGGAAGAGATTTCTGTTTGGTTCCCACTGAACCTCCAGAATTTGTTTTTGATGTATGTAAATATGTGTGGAAATACTGATGTATGTTGTATGTGTGCCCCCTACTCATGTATGTTACAGCCTTGGTCCTCATGACTCATTATTAATGTTGGGAAGATACAGGAGAACTTGGCTTCCCTGAGATGTTCCCTAACCAATTTTGGATTGGTTAAGTGCGTGCAACTTCACATACATGTGGCTGTGCAGTGCTTGTGCATGCAGACTTGGAGATGTTTCTAAGGATGGAACAGAGAAATCAATGGGAGAAAGCTTAAACACGACACAAGTGGAAGCAGGTCACTGTGTTTATGGCTTGTTTAAGCTTCACCTTGTGGGTTTGTTTTTGTGCTGCCTTCTCAAGATATTGTGCTGCTGCCATTACTGTTATGGGTTTAGTTATGCGTTACATTTCTTTGTGCGTCTGCCGTGTCCTGATGTTTTACTTTCCCTACTCTCTCTTTCTCTCTTTTTCTCACCGCCTCCATGGTGGACACCCTGTTTCCTCTACTTAACTGGACCTTCCACTTCATTTCTGTAGGTAGAAGTAAAGGTAGTGATCATTTTATTTTTATTATTATAACAATCAATCTGCCTTCTGAAATATTCATGTATCCAAGGGGAATTGTTGATTTTGATGAATACAGTGCAGACGATAACTTAGTGCTTTTAAGAACAACTTAAAACAATAAATAACAAGCCAATGCTATCATTCCCCTTCAGTGCCCTTCACGTTGGATGGTTGGGGATGACTCCAAGTTGGCCCACCTCCTACTAAGTCCAGGAGGATGTGTGTCGGTTATGGTGTGCTGTTTCTAAAAGGGATGGGGACTCGACAGTGGCTGTGCAGTGTGGGCAAGACATGTTTCACCTAATGCAGGGTATCCTACAAACCCCTCCCAATAAATGTGGGGAGGGAACAGGGGGATGTGAAATGATGTACCAATGTTTGTATTACTTGGGGATAACATTAGTGAGGGAAGGATGATCAATAAGAAAGGGAAGAGGATTGGTGAATTGCTTGACCTTTTATTTAATATGAAATTTGGGGGATATTTATTTCGTGCCTATATTTTGGGGAGTGGACATTTTTTGATGGTGGGGTGGTGATGATCTAAGAATGGTGGGACTGGAGGTGCATTACATTGTAAGGAGAAAGTAGAGAAGGAGGTAATGCTGGATTTGAACTTACAAAGTCCACCTTTGCCAGAGAGTTGGGGAAAAGCAGAGGCGCCGAGCAGGAGGGCTGCTCCAGTGCTCTGACGTGCCTTCCAGTGCTTCATGTCTGCGGGTAGCACAGCTCACTCATCCATTCCTAATCAAAGCTGTCGGGGACCTGAGCCCAGAGCACCTGGCTCGCCAACTCAAGTTGGGTTAGCAGTTCAGGAGTGAAGGGAGAAGTTAATTGATGAATTATAAATATGTATCTGCGCTGGCCTGACAAGTTATTGAAAATGCTGATTTGATGACTAGTCCGTGAACTGACCATGTCTCATTTGAGTTTCATACTTTTGTGGCTTTTTACAATGTTATGTGTGGTTACCTTGGAAGCAACTCAGCCCTTTCTCTTTAGGAGCTAGTTGATTCCCTGTCCCTTTTATGCTAATCACAGGTGGGTTCATTCTCAGAAATCTGCCATGGGGACCCTTACCCTATTATGAGCTTGGTACCTTTTGAAAGGAGCTGGGAAAGGGAATGAGGAAGAGCAATCACGATTGAAAGTATGCCTCTGGCTGTAATGCCCACTTCTCTTCTTACTCTATTCAACCAGAGGCTGCCAGGGGCCTCCTCCTAGGCAAAGCCACCAATTTTGGTCCAGGACTCAACCTTCCTGAGGCATGTGGCATTGTGTCACCTGTCCCTCCTCCCACTGGCCTCCATGAGAGAACATTAGAGTGAGTCTCCCCTTCTTTCTCCCCTAAGCACCCCATCTCTCTCTTTGTATTTCCCTAATCACCTAAAACATCCCCTAAGATAGGTGTGCTTAGTGTTCAGAGGTTTTGTACTTCAGTATTTCACTTTCCTTTACTGGCCACTGCTAACATCGATTATTTCCCATGTGCCTTTCATTGTGCCCTGTACTTCAGATGCTTATCACACCGAGTCCTCTCACCTGTTGTATGCAACAGGTGATGGCATTAGTCTTGTTTCATGGATAAGGGAAACAAGGCTGAGAGGGTTTGGTGACCAAAATCAGATGACAACTAAGTGGAAATGAAACCCAGAAATGAGTCCCTACCCACCGCCCTATACAGCCTCCCTTGGATCCAAGGAGGGTGTCAGTGGCACTGACTCATCTCAAGTTCCAGCCTGTACTTTGCATTCTCGGTAACGTAGGTCCATCTAAGTGTCCCACCAGTACTGTCACTTCAGTATGTCTCAAGTAAACCTTCTCACCATCTGGCCACAGACTAGCTTCCCTGTTTTTTAATGGTGCCCTCGTCCTCCTTATCACTTGAGCCAAAACCCAGGAATTGCTTTCCGTCCTTCACCTTCCTGAACGTTCCTGTTCCCCTGTGCCCAGTTGACAGAGCTGTTGAGATTCTCACCTGAATGTCTCTTGCATCTCTATCAACGCACTAGTTTGGGTTCCAGCTAGCCCTTCTTAGATTATTACCCTTGTTAATTAGTCTCCTGTGTCCATTCATTCTCTTCCAGTCGGTCCAGTAACTGAGAACTGCTTAAACTCCGCCTTCCGCCAAATGAACGGGATTAGCTATCTGGCTTTCACAGCTATCCCTGATATGACCCTATTTACCTTTAACCTTCTCTTCTGTTAATCTGAGATGTAAAATTGCTGCTAAAGAGGATGTCTGATAACCTTACGGGACCTTTTCTTATCTTCTGGATTTATGTATTCTGCTTCTCTCTTGTAATAGCCCCTCTTCCCCTTTTTGCCACCCCATGAAACCATATGTGGATTTCATTTCCTAGTTGATGCTACCCTGAATGCTCCATTCAGAGAGGAGCTCCCCCTCCATGGAGCTTCTATTCAAGTTATTTGGGAATTGGGCCACTCCCCTCTACTAGATGGTGAGAAGACAAACATATTTATTCGTTAATGTCCAGATGTAGCCAGCATAGTAGGTTACATGTGGAAAAGCCTCAAAATCTCTAATCCTTCTTATCCTGCTGTCAATCATCTTTGCCTAAAAGTGAAAATAAAGCAAAATTAAAATGAAATCAGATTATGTAGCTCATCTGTTCAAAAGCTTTTGATGGATTCTCATTGTGTGATCGCCAGCGTGCCTTCTCGCTTTATTTTCTGCAGTGCCACAGCCCACTCAGCACTGTCACCTCTGCCTGCACCCTGTCTCCTACAGTCAACAGCTCTCTCTCTGAACCCACAATGTGGTTTCCTGCCTCCTGTCTCTTGTTCAAGCTCTACCCTCTTTCTTGAGAGTCCTTGGAGCACCCTTCTTTCAACCCTTTCATCCTTGACGTTCCAAGTCTCTTCGGTTCACCAAACTTTGTGATTCTGTTTCAAAGTACCTATGTCAACCTGTCTCGAAACAGTTTTACTGATGTGTTTCAGTCACCTCCACCCCCTGATAGGACAGAGGCTGTGTCTTGGCCATTTCTGTTGCCCACCCTGTGCTTAGCTCAGTACTTTGTCCACAGTTATGCTCTAATTTCTGCCTCTTTTCACTACCCTTGCCACTCCAACTAGCTGAGCAAAGGAGCCCCCAGGGGTCACAGAGGGAGGCCAGATATTTTCCATCCAGTGCCCTCCTCCCCCAGGCCTTCTCTTGGCCTGTGTGTACAAGTGACAGAAGGAAATTGATTACACCAGAATAAAAGTGGGAAAGGTCTTTGGATTTATTCTTAGGAGCTTGTCAGAGAAAAGAGTGCCTCAGATTCTGTCATTCTTTAAAACTGAGTGATGAAGCAGTAAACTTGTAGTGGAAAGAATTGTGAAGTTAGCTGGATATTTAGGCTAAAATGATAACCACCACATTGAAGAGACCATTGGGTAGCATTGAGCTAAAAGCAAATGTGACTTTACTCAAAAAGTGGGTGGTCAAAGGAATTATTCAGCCACAAGCCATGGTTGGCTTTTTGACCTGATTTTGACACCCTGTGTTTTAAGTGTTTAAAGTGTGTTTTGGCCTCCATCCCCCTTTCCTTGTTAATTTGGGGATTGCCCATTTTAGGTTAGGTTGCCAAATACTTTCCCTTGAAACTGAACTTGGAGTAAGTGTTGCAGATTCAAATGCCTACAGGGGCCTGATCACTTTCATAAAGAGCAGATTCCATCCTAAGAAAAATTCTAATGTAAGATAAACGATAGGGAGTGGGGGGAACTGTGGCAAAGTACAGAACACAAATCCTGTCAAGGGCGGCAGCCTCTACTACGCTCCAGCTGATTGCTTCCATGAAAGAATGCATGCCCAGTGATAGGCCTCAAGATAGGCCAGAAGTGGATTTTTTAAAAATGTCAGCTCAAAGCATCTTTCTGTCTCCCTATCCGTGTATAAATGCATACCCCCAACCTCCACCACATGTGGAGGTTTGGCCCCTGAACCACAAGTTTTTGACCTTTGGCTTATGGAGAAAGGAGAAGTAAGCTTTTCCTCCAAGACTTGTTGCTGAATGTCAATAGTGGGGATTGTAACTGATAGTATGCTTGATTAATTTTCTCTTTGCTCACAGCAATGGTCAGGGCCCCAGGAACATGCCCTACCTTCGGCATTGGTGCCAGGGAGCCTGATCCACGTGTTGGGTGAAGCTGGTTTTGAAAAGTAGGGGAGGGTGTGAGAATGTTGGGAATGACCAAGAGGGTAACTGATGCTTTCAACAATTTGCCAGGAACTGGCACAATTTTTAAATAGGAAGGGTGGCTGGGAGCATTTAGTTCATTTTCTCCCTTTTGCTCTACAAAAGTCTTTATTTACTGGACTAGTTAGTGTTGAACCTGATATCTACTTTAGTCCTCCAGAATTTAGAAACTCCTTCAGATTTATTTATATGTAGTTTTTCCCATGTAGATTTGACCATTGGCTGTCCAATACTGAACTAGTCAACATGGACCATACTGGGAAGAGATAATCAAGCTACGTGAACTTGAACATGATTTCGTGTAGATTGTATTTTGCTGGTAATGGCATTTTAAAAAGCTGATTTGAGGAGTTGAGCCCCGTCTTGTCCCTGCTAGGACTCGGGAGCCCTGCGAATAAGTTACTGCTTTGATAGCCAACTGTTTATGCAAATTAGTAAATGCAATGCCAGCTACTAATTATGAAAATAAACTCATCTGTGCTCTATAAATATCTAATTATAATAAAATAGTGACAATATTACATTCCCATCTCTTGCCTCATCTGTTTCTCATCCACCACTGATTTGTCCTCTTGACAATGAATAAAATCACTTGGTTTTTTAAAGAAGCTTGTTTTCCATGTTTTCTTTTTCTTCTAATGTTTTGAAAGTCTGCAGGGGGAAAATAGATTTATTTTAAACATAAGTATAATGGCCTGATTTTAGCAACTCTGTGTTTTTGACAGTGATGTCTCTAAAATGGTGCTTTAAAAATATGAAATTGTTCTTTTTTCT